AGATAACATTGAGAAAAGCACGATTGGCTGGACTTTATAGCCAATCGTGCATCTGTTTGCGGACACAGATGTCTTCAGGGTTCACAAAAATAACTCTGACAGACAGTTGCGACAGGCTGATGACAACGATTACTACTACACATTCACGGAATGGTCAAATTATCGTATATTTTGCCTTTTTTGGGATTATTGATCGTACAGAGGGAAAAATTGTCGTGCAAATACGATAATTATCGTAAACCTGGCAACACTGCCGTTAGACGACAGTCATTCAGAGTCACACATCTTTGTCTCCTTTGACGCTGCGTCGACCAATCACGTCTTGTCATGTGTACACGCAGTCAGCCAATAGCGTGCCTTACTGACTCTTTGAGACACGCCCACAGCAGAAAGGAACAAGCTTGTGAATTTTGTTAGAGGACTTAAAGTAATTTAGCTGAAGCTAATTCCGTTAACAGTTTCCAAAATTAGCAAAAATATACTAAAATACTTATATGCTAAACAAAAAATGAGTTCCGCTATTAGCTGTTAGCGGATTAGCAGAATTCTGATCATTTGTTAAAATGTAATCTCAGTCACCATCATCTGAATCTAGTGTGGACATCAAGACCAATGTGAGAGCGTCAGATTGGCCATAAAAACTGAAACAAAAAATATAAATGACGGCTATTTATTACAATATTTTACAAGATAGATATTTCATTATATATTCATGAACTTTCAAATATTTTTGGAGCCATAAGCAGCTACGACGATAAGGCTAACCTTCAGTGTAATTCTCTAAAAGCCTCAAATCTGACAGATAAAATAAGGCATTTTGGGAGAAATGCAAGTTGCATAAACCTTTTATATATGCTGATTCATTCAACAGCTGCAAGCCATTTTATATTTATTAAAGTATTGATATTAAGCAAAATGTAATTCTAAATTTTTGTACATATGCAATAAAAAGTAACATTGTGGCAAATGTACTGATAATAATGCAGCAGATTCGTTTAATCAAAGTGAACCCAACACAGTCTATTAATTATTTTATTTTTTAGCAAAAAAATAAAATAAAAATAAACTCCTGCACTTCTCATAGGCGGTGTACAGTAAATTTATTTTAACACAAGAGCTCCCTCTGTAGGACAGCAACAGAAAACAGCCTAATTAATCTGACAAGTTTGACATTTAAAGTGTGAATTATGAATGTTTTTATGTTTGAAAACAAAATGTATCACAAGATCAACCAGTAAATCTGCAAAAGAGATTTAAATTGAAAACCAATATTCAAAGTGATGAAAAACAATATATTTACCTCAGTGTTAAGTTTTATAAAAAAAGTTGTGATTTAAATCTACTGGAATGGACACACGTGTGTCAAAGAGTTAAAATGGGGGAATATTTGGTCATCATGCTGACAGCAGGAAAACTTGGAAGGAGAAAGTTAAGAATTAATAAACCAAGTTTTTAAACGGCTTCTCAGTTAAATAGTTAATAACAAGTGACATCAGTCATAGAGCACTAAGTATGAAACCCTTCCACAAAACTTTCTGTCCAGGTCAGGCTAATGGCTAGGTGTTAGAGAATATTCGGTCACAGTTTTATATTGTCTGAGAACATCTTTCCCTCCTGTCATGAGAACTTGCCGGTCTGCTGTCTCTCAAACCGTCCTCTTATCTCGACCTGGAGGTCGACTCGTGGCGCCTCCCTGATGCCCCACGCACCCCATCTGCACAGTGTGCTTTTGTGAGATCCGTGCTGCTGGCTTCAGGAACTGAGAGAAACGCCCACTGAACTCTGAGGAACACCCACTGAACTGTTATGAAGTTATAAAAGTCAACAGAAGATCAGGTTCCAGGTGCATTCGGTGAACTCTGAAATTGTAATGCAGGTATGTATGTACCCGTTCTGGATGTGGCCCTTGCAAGCAAAAGCCAGTTAAAATATCTTCACCTGCCGTGAGTTTGTGGTTCTTTATTTGAGTAAACAATAATAGTGAAAGAGAAGTTTTCTAACACTAGGCTAATGTCTAGACTACAGGCTAGGCTAGGTTAACGGCTAGGCTACAGGCTTAGCCAATCAGGAGATTGTTTTTTAATTTCCATCCATCCATCCATCCATCCATCCATCCATCCATCCATCCATCCATCCATCCATCCATCCATCCATCCATCCATCCATCCATCCATCCATCCATCCATCCATCCATCCATC